AAATACCTTAAAAAATAAATAAAATCAACATATCTTATATTACATGCTAGGGAGTGGTAGAGGAAAGAAAATGTGTGTGTGTGTGTGTGTGTGTACATACACAAGTGCATTCATAACGAAATAAGGAGGAAATACTCATGACAACTATAGTCCTTGTTTCTGTAACTGGTCACATGCTCATGGCTGGTATTTATAACAACTTTCACTCTTCATTTTGGATTCCCTTTGCTCTAAACAAGCACCTCAGTTGGTCATAGTTCTTCACCTGGTGGGGTGACCCAAATCTTCATCCCTGAAGAGGCTGAGTCATTAGTCGTCCTGCCTGGATTGACTTATTGTAGTTTTCCATTGACTTTAATCACAAGGCATGGTAATATAAGAGACATCCTAAAGGATCTCTTGTATTTCAGACTCTTCCTTACCTCCCTGGTCAAATTTCCCTTTGGTGATCAGGATCAATCACCCCAGATGGCACAATATCTCCCTTCTTTGCCTGTTAATCAGAGGTATGAGGAGCCCAAAGTGGCCTGGTAGCAGTCTTATCTTATAGGTCAATAAAATCATTGTTGTGTCTCTTGGCAGAAGCATTCCTCCCACTAGAATTAAGACCTTAATTAGGTCTTAATTAGGCCAGGAGAGCGTAATGTGGGTACAGGAAGAAAAAATTTTGCTACTGGGTCATTAAGAGTAAAAGTAAGTGGCATCACTCTCATTTCCACCTCTTGAATTCCTGGATTCATGGATCCTGGCTATGGGAGAAACAGTACCATGTATTGGCACTAATTCAGAGCATATACAACCTTTTGGAAATCTTTGCCCCAACTCTGCAATGCATTGCCACTAGCTGGTGCTTAACAGAGTCTTCAAAAGGCCATTCTGCTGTCAAACCAGCTGCTTCAGGATGGTAGAGAACATGACAAAAATTCCATGAGCATGGCCAATCACCACATTTCTTTTGCTGTGAAGTTTCTTGATCAGAAACAATGCTCTGTGGAATACCACGATGGTGGATAAGCTACTCTATAAGACCATGGATAATAGTTTTGGCAGAAACATTGCATGCAGGGAAGGCAAGTACATATCCAGAGTTAAGTATTATAGCAGTAAGAACAAGAAGAGTCACGTAAGTGGTCCAAGGTAATCAACCGGACACCAGGTAGCTGGCTGATCACCCTGGGAATGATACCATTTCTGGGACTCAAGTATAAGTTTTTGCTGTTGGCAGATTGGGCACTCAGTTGTGGCTAAAGCCACTTTGGTGAGTGGAAGTCCATGCATAACTTCTGTTCTTGCTACCATGGCCATGTTCTTTTTTTTTTATTTATTTTATTTATTTATTTGAGAGAGCGAGAATGAGAGAGAGTACATGAGAGGGGGGAGGGTCAGAGGGAGAAGCAGGCTCCTCGCTGAGCAGGGAGCCCGATGTGGGACTCGATCCTGGGACTCCAGGATCATGACCTGAGCCGAAGGCAGTTGCTTAACCAACTGAGCCACCCAGGCGCCCCATGGCCATGTTCTTCATGAATACACTGGGCAATGACAAGGTGGCTGGGGAAAGAGGAGCACTGGTATCCTTACAATAGGTCACCCTATCTGCTTGATTATTAAAATCATCCTCTGCTGAGGTCACTCTTTGGTGAACATTCATATGGGACACAAAATATCTTCACATTTTTATGCTCATTAAGAGGGGTCTATTCCATATCTGTTTCCAAATTTCTTTGTCAAAAATTTTCCAATCATGTTCTTTCCAAGCCTTTGACTATCCAAATCATTGGCCACAGATCATGAATCTGTATGCAGTCACAAAGTGAACAAACAAGTTGGTTGTTTGAAGTTCTGCTCACTGGGAGGCCTTCTCTTCACCACTGTCCTAAGGGATGTCCCTGTTATGCTGCAGGTGCTCACTTTCAAATGGTGCTTATATGTTGTACAGAACCATCGGAAAACTCTTTTCTTCCTATGTGAACTGATTGTAGGGAACTCCCCACAAGGCCATAGGTTCGGGCTAGGAGAGACAAGGCAGTGTTGTAGGAGTGGGGATCATGGATATTTGGGTCACTTCTTAATGTAACTTACACCCTCAGGGTCTGCTCAGGTATATATTGTTTCTCTCTGATGTTGGAGTGCTACTGTGCATGTCATGGCTTGGTGGGTCAAATATCACCCAGTTCATGATGGGCATCTCAATTTGCATGATAATTTGCTAACCCAGGGTTAAGTGTTTAGTCTTGGCTAAGGCCCAGTAGCAGGTGAAGAACCTGCTCAAAAACAGGGTCATTATCCAAGATGATTCCCAAATCTAGGGAATCTGGGCTGTGATTCATCTATAGGGCCTGGCCAAAGGCTCCAGACAGCATCCTCACCTGCCAGTGACCCTTCAAGCACCATTGGATCTGCTGGATCATTTGGCCCAAGTGGTGGAGCAGCGTGCACAGCAGCCTGGACTTATTGCAGAGCCTTCTCCTGTTCTGGGCTCTATGCAAAACTAGCAGCTTTTTGGGTCACTTGGTAAATGGGCCCAAGTAACACACACAGATTAGGAATATGTTGCCTCCAAAATCCAAAGAGCCTCACTAGGCATTATGTCTCTTTTGTGGGAGGGGCTGGATGAGTAACTTAACTTTTATCCTAGAAGGGATATCTCAATATGCCCCACACTATTTTTTATTATGTTTTTATTTTAATTCCATTATAGTTAGCATATAGTGTTATATTATTTTTGGGTATACAATATAGTGATTCAACACTTACATACATCATCTGGTGGTTATCATGATGGGTGTCCTCCTTAATCTCCATCACCTATTTCACCCATCGCCCAACCCACCTCCCCTTTGGTAACCATCAGTTTGTTCTCTATAGTTAAGAGTCTGTTTCTTTATTTGTTTTCTGTCTCTTTTCTTTTTTTCCTTTGTTTGTTTGTTTTGTTTCTTAAATCCCATATATGAGTGAAATCATACGGTATTTGTCTTTCTCTGATTTATTTCATTTAGTATTATACTCTCCAGCTCCATCCACGTCATTGCAAATGGCAAGATTTCATTATTTTTATGGCTGAATAATAATCCATTGTGTATATATACCACATCTTCTTTATCCATTCATCTATCAATGGACACTTGGGCTACTTCCATAATTTGGCTATCGTAGATAATGCTGCTATAAACATAGGGGTGCATGTATCCTTCTGAATTAGTGTTTTCCTATTCTTTGGGTAAATACCGAGTAGTGCGATAGTAGATCATAGGGTAGTTCTGTTTTTAACTTTTTTAGGCACCTCTATACTGTTTTCCAGAGTGGCTGCACCAGCTTGCATTCCCACATAGCAAGAGGGTTCCTCTTTCTTTCTTTCTTTCTTTTTTTTTTTTTAAAGATTTTATTTATTAAACAGAGAAATAGAGCCAGAGAGCACAAGTGGGGGAAATGGCAGAGGGAGGTAGAGAAGCAGGCTCCCCACTGAGCAGGGAGCTGACGCAGGGCTCAATCCCAGGCCCCTGGGATCATGACCTGAGCCAAAGGCAGGCGCTTAACTGACTGAGCCATCCAGGCACCCCCAAGAGGGTTACTTTTTCTTCACATCCTCACCAACACTTGTTGTTTCTTATGTTTTTTATTTTAGCCCATTCTGACAGGTGTGAGGTGACATCTCATTGTAGTTTTGATTTGCACTTCCCTGAGTGGTGTTGAGCATCTTTTCATGTGTCTGTTGCCTATCTGGATGTCTTCTTTAGAGTAATGTCTGTTCATGTCTTCTGCCCATTTTAAAATTGGATTATTTGGTTTTTGGGTCTTGAGTTGTATAAGTTCTTTATATATTTTGGATACTAACCCTTTATCGGATATCATTTGCAAATATCTTCTCCTATTCTGTAGATTGCCTTTTAGTTTTGTTGATTGTTTTCTTTGCTGGGCAGAAGCATTTTATTTTGATGTAATCCTAATAGTTTATTTTTGCTTTTGTTTCCCTTGCTTCAGGAGACATATCTAGAAAAATGCCATTATGAATATGCCCCACACTATTGAACCCCTGGAGATTTCACTGGGATAGAAGGTCCCTGAATTTTTTTTAGATTTATTTTCCACCTTCTGGCATGCAAATGTCTTACTAATAAGTCTGGAGTAGTTGCTACTTCTTGCTTACTAGGTCCAATCAGCATAAAGTCATCAATATAATGGAGCAGTGTGGTATCCTGTGGAAGGGAAAGGTGATCAGGATCTCTGTGAACTAAATTATGACACAGGGCTGGAGAGCTGATAATGCCCCTACCATAGGATAGTAAAATTGTATTGCTGGCTTTGTCAGCTGAAAGCAAACTGTTTCTGGTGGGTCTTACAGATAGGGATGCAGAAATAGCTGCCTATCAGGTACCAGAGGATGTGCTGATTTGCTCAAGCCAGGAAACCACATCTGGCACAGCACCTGGAATGTGAGTCACCCCCTGGTTAAGCTTACAATAATCTGTGTGATTCTCTAAGATTTATCTGTCTTCCGCACAGGCTGAATAGACAAGTTGAATGGGGATGTGGTGGGAATCACTCTCCCTACACCCTTCAAGTCTTTGATGGTGGCACTAATCTCTGCAATCCTGTCACGAATGTGGTATTACTTTTGGTTCACCATTTTCCTTGGTAGAGGCAGTTCTAGTGACCTTCACTAGACTTGGTTTTTGCACCATAATAGCCCTCATACCAGAGGTTGGGGAGGCAATGTGGGATTTTGCCTCTTGCTTTGTATATCTATTCTAATGATGAATTCTGGAACTGGGAAAATGACCACAGAATTGGTTTGGGGACCAACTGGCCCCACTGTGAGGTGGACTGGAGCTAACACTCCATTGATCATTTGACCCCCATTAGCCCTACCCACAGTGACATTTTGGGTCTTCTGGAACTAGAGTCAGTTCAGAGCCAGTGTCTAGAGGTCCCACAAAGTTCTGCTTATTTTCTGTTCCCCAGTGCATAGTTACCCTGGAAAAAGCTGTAGGTCCCTTTGGGGAAGGCTAGAAGAAAAATTAACTGTATAAAATTTTGGCAGTATAGTAAGGCTCTTCCTCAAGGGGACCCATCCTCCTCTTCATTCAAGGGACTCTGGGTGTGTAAACTGGCTCAAGTCTGGGAATTGGTTGAAGCACAGTGACTATGTTTTTATGGTTCAAGTTAGACTTTTATTTACTCCATGTAGAATTTTTCTGCTTATACAGGTCAGTAAGAATTCAGTTGGCTTCCTATTTCACTTCTAAGAACACCATGATCAATTAGCCAGCACCACAGATCTGTGTCAGACCATTCTGATCGCAGCTTTGACTCTGCTGTGGATTACCAGTAACCACGCACACTTTTCTTCTGGTGGTTGAGTGCCCTCACTTGGCCCCTGCCACCCTAGGACCCAATTACTCCCATTGCATTTAGGTTTCCTAATTCAGTGGCTGCAGTGCCCATTGCAAGGTCTGGCCTACAGGAAGAGTCATTATGGAGCTCTTCAAGGATAGTTGCCCTCAGAAATTTATTTCTCACAGTAGTGGTGAAAGGTATGTTTTCTGAACCCTCCAGTGTGCGTAAGTAGGTCTTAAATGACAAATCTATTCTAACATTCCAACCTTCCTAAGGCTTCAAATCCCATCCTCTCCATTAAACCAAAGCATGTTGGGCACTTCCAATTTGTTCACTGGGCCCACCTTTTGTGGCCCAAAACCCAAGTTAAAGTCCTTTCTAATTCTTTGAGTTGCTACATTAAATGCAGAATCTCTGCTTATTGAGGCCATATTAATAAATTTGGCCTTATCCAGTTTTATGTTCCTTCCACCATTATCCCACCCTCCTCGTATTCATTTAGGCACATGTTCTCTGGATTTCTGCTTGTATAAACTCAATTAGTTCTTTTGGAGTATAGCATATCTCCTCATGGGTCACACTTTGTTCTTTACCTTTAAGGACCTGGTGAGACTTGAGTCTAGTTATAGGTCAAGAAGCAAAAGGGGTGGTGGGGATGAGTCCTGAGGAGAATCAGCATTGTCTTGCAAGGCAAGTGCCTTAGGGGAGGCCATTACAGTTTCCTTAGACAGGGCAGGGTTAATATCCTCTGACAGGGGTGGAGAGGCTGCTGCTTCCATTGGGATTGGGGAGACCACTTCCACTGCAAAGATCCATCAGAATTGAGGGGGTCAATGTCCCTAACTTTATCAGTGTTTCTGACACATCCCTCTTCCACCTTATAGGATCCCTTTGCTTCCCAATCAATGCCCTCACCTTACCAGT